AGGGAGAAGGCGATTTCAGGAGAGCTGGGCCTTCTCCCCAGTTTGCTGGGAGAATGACAGCCCCGCAACCCCTGGCTGCAGCCCTGGGCCTTCTGCTGCTGGGTCATCTCCTCTCCTGGGAGTATCTCGTGCTCCGTGTGATGAAGCACTCATTGCCAGCCGTTGCACAGTCGGTTCCTTCGCAGGGGATTTCCACACCACAGGTTTCATGCAAGGTTTGGAAATCCTTTCTGAAGGAACTGACTGTGCAATATCATTATATTGTCTGCTGTATAAAAAATTGCTAGGGATCATGGGATCATAGAATCATAGAATTGTCTAGGTTGGAAGGGACCTTTAAGATCATCTAGTTCAACTATCAACCTAACTCTGATAAAACCCATCACTAAACCATGTCTCTAAGCACTAAAATGGATGGATAAGTGTCACCAAGAGCCCAGAGACAGTCTGAAATCGGTCCCTGCAACATGCCTTTGCAAATTTGTCTTGCTTTTAGAAGATTAGTGAAGTTTCCCTGGAGGCATTTAAGGGTTAATCTGTGCTCCGTGTTGTAGCATGTGGATTAGCACTGTGGGAGTAGGAGAAGTATCTTACTGCAATAACTAAACATAGTTCCTAGCACGGATGGAGGGACACTGACAAAAATGAGTTTGTAAAATTATTTTTAGTTGTGTGATACGTGTGCTCTGGTACTTGCTGCTGGCCACAACAGTCTCCCGCCTTGGGATTGCAACGTGATTTTTTCCATCAATTAAAAAGTAAGAGCTCAGAGTCCAGCTCTGTCCCCAGGGCAGGATATGCTTTGCTTAAATCATCCTGGACCCCTCTAGCGTGAGCAGCCTTCAGGAACAGAAGAGATTCTGCCTCCTCCCTGAGAGACTGATCTCGGAGCTTGAGTTACTGCTAGGGGCTCCCCCGAACAGCCAACCTGCATCACCTTTGAAGCAAATGCAAACCATTATTACTTGTACCTTCCACAGTAATATGAGAAAAGGAAGATGTAACATGCTTTTTGAGTTACAAATTTTTATTGCTTCTTCTTACAACCTTTTCTAGACTAAACAACAGCTTCTTTCAAACCATTCTTACAACTTGCTCACTTTGAAGAAGCCAGGCCCAAGCAAGGCCATGTACAAACCCCAATCCTCCCCTGAGATACTGCTCTGATTTCTTGTATTCCTGACTTTTGCAAGTGATAGCAGCTGTTTCCACATACAGAAGCCCTACAACACGCTCTAATGAAACAACCAAAACCCATCCTCTAACAAATATGGGAGACTCTTTCCTTCTTAAGTGCTGCTGCCCATGTAATTAGGATGCTCACAGACTGTAAAGCAGCCATTTTCCACTCTGCTGGAGTGGTAGTGACATAGTTATTCCAGTGGGCATAGGCAATCCCTGCTGCTTGTGTAGCCAATTCTTGCCTTATATAGGTGCTCTGGAGAGCAAGTAAAGCATTTGTGTTTTGCAACAGGATGGTCTGTTCTGGTGGCATACAGGGTAAGTGCTCTCCTGGTCTGACCTTCTAGAGGTTTTTCTAAGCCAGGTACTTCACTGTAAGGTTGTTAAGGTGGCTTTTGGACATCTGCATCACTGGGTGTAGGTCAAGTTTACTCTCTCCCTGTCAGTAGAGACATTCAGTATTCACTGTGAGTTCTTGCTCACATGTAAGTATGAGCAGTAATGACAGAAGTCAGTAGAGAAAGGCGGACTACAGCTTTGTCTCCACAAGTATAGTACAATTCTAGGTGAACTAGTATCTCAATGTACTTACCTTCAAAAAGACCCAGATAAGAATACAGAAGTCAAAGAATAGAAGATGTAAAAAGAAGCATTACCAGCTATGTATGCGTCCTTTAAAATGTCAGTGTTTATGGACTGGTCCAGCTGTGAAAGCTAATAATTAGACTTTGCATTACCTTTTCTCCTATAATTATGTACCAATTGTTTAATGGACCTTAAATAACCAGGTAGGAGGTGTTCATTTGTATTTCATTGTCCCTTAACTGCTGTCTTGTGGTAACTGTCTGTTTACAACAGTGGTTGTTTCGAATACTTTGTTCATATTACTTGTGGTTTTGTACTTTATCTGTCTTCAGTAGCTGTACATGAGTAATTCAGTCATCTTACTATGGACCGAACTTGTCAGCCAGCAAGTTCGGGTAACAGAATGGGTAGAGAGAAGGGTGTGGGTAGGGAGCAGGTATGAATTTGAGGTTAAGGAAGATTCAGCAAAAGAATGGGCTGCACTAGATTGCAGCTTTGAGTCCAGGGACCTCTGAAGTAGCAAGAAAGAACACACACCTTATAGTAATACTTTTGTTAAGCTATGCTTATTTTCTGTAGAAGCAAATGAAAAAGGCAAAAATCTGTATCTGATTTTCAGATATTCTCAGACCTGTTGTTTGGCTCTAAGGTTTCTACTGAGATCATGCCTCAGGGCAGCAAAAATTATGCTGAGATAGGTCTATGGCAAAGCTTTTATCTGAGGTTTTGCTTGGTGTCTTAGGGCTAATGCTTTGTTTGCTAACAATGAAGACCTGAAACATGCTTAGAAATCAACCTGCCTCTCAACTCTTTCATCTTCCTTAACAAACAGACCCTTGCATAGAAGCAAGGAGTAATCTTTATATTTGAAGTAAGCATTATCAAAATAACTTTTACTGTATGTAAAGAAATAGGACTTTGTGGATGGTAGTTTCTAGACATCCAAGCCAAATTAACTTGAGATTGCATTTGGTGTGGCTACTGGAAAGGAGCAAGTTGGCCCTTGCAAGATGCCAGGGCCTCTGAGATGGTGTTTTCCTGAGGGTAGCACAGGGTCGGCTTGCCTTCAGTTTCTCTGGCTATGATTGCACAAAATGAGTGTACAATTGTTCTATTTGATAGGCGAGCAAACTTAATTAGTGTTTAATCTTCCTTCTGTCACCATTTTCACATTGTACCTCAGGTAGTTCAGGGCTTGTTAGTTGTTTGCAAAATTTGGAAATGGGAAGGAATTTGTTTGCTGCTTGACACATAAACTGGTATATAGAGATTTCAGTTACTTTATTTCAAAGTGTTGGAGGCTTGCCACAGCTAAAGCTGGGAGGTGATGGTCTGGCTAATAGCATTAAGCCTCTCTGGCCCCTGGCTGCTGTGCTTTCATATATGCAGGGATAAACCGTTCACCAGACTTAAATTCAGGAAGGAATTTGCCCCAGGGAAGCCTGGGACCATCATGAGTGGTTTTGTCCTTCTCTGTCCTTTTAGCTTGTTTCCACAGGGGGGCTTCAATATAATGAATCCCCTCCTGTAAAAAGCCCAGGCAGTGACTTGCTCTCTTTCGCTCCTTTTCTGTAGCAGAGTCTCCCTTACCACAGACCTGAGGTTTGCTACTGTTCTAGGAATGTTCTTATGTAGGGTACATCTTAAAGACTCTTCCAGACTAAATACATAATACATGTTTATGTTCTTTGGTCTGCCTAGGTTCTTACAAGCTCTAACAGTCAATAAAGATTCTTGGATGGGTGTTCAGGCCCACCTCCTCCGCTGTCATTTAGATTAGCTATGCTAGAGCCTGTATGTGTGGACTTACACTACAGCTGTCTTTGTTTTGCAGATGCTTAATGACACCAGTTGTCACTGCACAAGACTGCATCGTAAAAGTGTTCTCCTTCCTCCACCAAGCTGACTTTTCATTCAAAGTAAGTCATCCCTTACTGTCCATCATCTTATTGCCAGTGAAGTTACCATACTTGCAATTCAAATCATTCTCCTTTAGGTAAGAAGCTGTTTAATGAATGATTTCATTATGTTGCAGTGCTCAGCAGACCTGGATCTGCAGCATGGCTGCCGAAAGCGATCAGTGTACCAGGAAGAAAACCAACATGTCAGCAACCAAGCTTTAAGGATGTCTAGCTGTTGGTAGTCTTGATAGTTATATGTCTGAACTTAATTCCTTCTCAGCTGACAGGGTAGAATGCCCGCTATACCAACTTGGAGCCTCACTCCTCTTGATTTGGGGAAGAAAGCAAATGAAGGGAAGTAACTGAAGGGAAATGGGCTTAGGAAAGCTCCAACTGCTGCTAGGGGTGGGATTCTTGCAAAATGTTAGCACCACCGCCTCCCAGAAATTAGGTGTTGGCTGCAGCACAGTGCCTGCTTCTGTCTGGGATGTGAAACCAAGGCTGTGCCCTTCCCTGTGCCCTTGTGAATTCTCCAGGGGCTCTGCTAGCCTAACTGCTGGCACAGAAAGGGTATAGAGACCTGAATGATGGCCAGTGTTGTAAAACCTTAAAGCAGAGTTTTAAGGATCCTGCAGTGTTGTGTAAACAGCATGCTGTTAAAGTATGTGCCAGACCTGTTGGGGCCCACTCACACACTGAACTGGTTGTACACTCTTTAGCATAATGGGTCTCTCTTCTGGTTTCTAACCCAGAACCTACGGAAAGTTGCTGCTTCTCTGTGCTATGGAAGGTTAACATGAGTTCAGGTCTACAGTGTGAGGTCCTGGCTAAACAAAAGAGCATAGTGTAGGCCCTGAGCTGGAAATATGAGCAATGCAGTCCTGTGCAGAACTCTGGACTTAATGCCAAGTGGGAGCAGGAATTATTGGGCACCAGGACTGTTTTTTCATCATGTGGTGAATAAGCAATTGAAAGATTTATTCTGACATCTGTATCATTACAAATGGTCACTGACAGAAGTTATCCTTATTAATAAAGACGGCAAATATTGTAAATGCCTTTCTCTGTCTTAAGTCATCTAGTGTCACAGCTGCAGGTTTGGTGTGCAGTGATGCATGGTGCATGGTGATACTGAACTTGCCAGTTTATTCATAAGAGAACTACTTCTGAGAAGGACATTGCTTTTATAGGGCCATTCAAGTTGTAAGGTGCACCCTGTAATAAATTCAAGCAAGGAGTTGGTCCTGTGGACTCAGTCATAGGCGGATTTTTGGATTTTCATTACCATAAATGAAGAATGTATTTAAATTTTTTTCCCTCTAAGGTCTGAAATAATATTTTTCATCAAAGATGTGATTTTTAAATTGATCCAAGACTGCAGATAAAAAAACAGCTTGGCAATTTAGATGTGGGTTTTCTCTGAGCTTGGGTGTTACCAGTAAATCTCCACTGACTTTGGGGGAATTACTCCTACCAGTAAAGTAAGCACAGGCTCTGAAGTCCACCATAGTCAAGACACTTTTTGACTCTGCTGGGCTTTAAATCAAAGGCTAAAAGCATTGCAAGAAAGGGGAGCCTGATCCAGGTAGGCTCCAAAACTCCTAGGCTTTAATAATCTACTTATGGCACTACTCATTGACATATAGCTTAGGAAAGTGATGGTTAGGAAATATTCACCGTTGGTTAGAAGGATCCAGCTTTGGTGGTCATGGCACCCCAGTTGGTGAATCACATGTACTTGCCAGGCCTCAGGAGGTACTGCTGTCCTTCGAAGTGTGGCTATTTGTAGAAAACCCAGGTTCCTTCAAGTATGACATAAGACCAGATGTCCCTGCAGTCAAAGTCATCCTGGAGAGAAGGGCAGTTATCCATGAACTCCAACATCCTGCCTCTGACAGCATTCCTCTCGTCTGTGCTCCTGGGGCTGCAAAGGCAAATCCAGACACAGATGCACAGGATGTCAAGTGGCAGTTCTAGGTGACTACAGCTTGCTAGATGCAATACTGATGCTAACAGCACAACAGTGAATAGCCACTAGTATGTGCAGAAAAGTCAGTTTAACAGGAATAAATCTGTCTGGGTCCTAATTTAAAGCTGCAGTGCTGTGAGTCCTTCTGCTCCAGCGACAGCAGAACTACAGTTTCTTTGAAAGAGCTGCAGTGGGGCAGAAATCACAAGTGGAATCCTGCCAAGATCACCACACTTCAACTGTACATGCAGATCCGTGATATACCTGGATTGCCACAGCAGTCACGTGCCCTCACTGTTCCTAGATGTTGATGTAATAACTGGATAAGGCTCTGGCTGGGATAGAGGGAAGCTTTTTCTGATCCTGCTTTTGTTGCACAGCCTTAGGTAGCCAGGTTTTCTTGCTTTTCATCTACTAAGATGCTAAACTGTTTCAACACTCTCTGACTCTTGTATCTAGCACAGCAAAGATTTGATACAGAAAAGTACTTTCTGCTCTTGCATGAATGCAATAGTTTTTGCAGGTGCTCAAGTGCAGTTGTATAGACATAAGAGTACTGCTGCTGTGCAAGGACCAACATCTTACTCAATTTAGAAAAAAACACAAACACAATGAAACCCAACAATACTTTAGTATCTACATTTATGGAATCAAACTTTCTGTACACGCTTGTTCTGAATCTGTAAAACATGCAGAAATGTGTCCTAATTTTAGGATTTTTTTCCCCTGCTCCTTCTCAGATACTTCCCATCGTTTTCCCAAGTCAATTTCCCTTCAATCCATCTTGTTCCCACCTTCCTTATCTGTGACTTCTTTCCCTCTACAGCTTGAAAGGGCACAAGAGCATCTGCACTAGCTTTCAGCACTTGGATCCAGAAGTTGGTTTAGCTAAGCAAAGCCCAGAACTGCATGTCAGTGAAAAAAATAGCTGCATTATCCTATGCAGATGGAATGTATCTGGAAACTTACTGTGATGGTCTATGAAGCTTCTACTGGGCAGAGAAACTGTGAATTGTACATAAAGCTTACAAAACGGATTAACTTAATTTTTCACGAACATTGTAGGGATGCATTCCAGCATCAAGGCTATTCCTGGGCAAAATATCAATTCCTTAGCTTTATGTGTGAGTATTGAAATCTTTCACATCTTGGCAACCTCTCCTCTCTTAGCAAAACTTTTCCAGGGAATGAGTCTAGGAGGGAAAAACAGAGATCTATTCTGGGCTGAAGTATTCTGAAAAAAATCTACCATAGGCAAATATGCCTTCACTTGCAGCTCAGATACATGGTGATGTCTCTACAATGAGATGTGTCAGGTTGCTTCTTAATAGAGTAGTCACCAACTTTGCCTACCTTGAAATAAGAGCATTGCCTGGGCCATGGCAGATGTGGTTTGGTTCTTAGCTCTGTACTAAGGTTTCTTGTGTAGATCATGTATAGCCAGAGTGGCTTTAGAAGATTGGTGATGTTAGGTGTTTTCATATACACATATAAAATAATAGATAAACATACTATTAAAATAAAAAATTATATAATAAACTCCCCTTTCCCCTGTTTCACATCCCCCACCCCCTGAGCACTAACCAACCACTCATTTGGCTGAGAATCTCAATTGACTTACCTACCTCTTTGGGAGTATAAACCCTATAAGGTGAACTTGGTAACTGTCCTTTCTACTACCCTCCTTCTACACAGAGGTCTCTGGGGAAGTTGTTACTTGTGCCAGAGCTGTCAAAATGGGTCTTCTAATTCTAGTTCTAATTCTAATTCTAATTTTAATACAGGCAGTAACATACCTGGAGACAATATGGAGAATTTTCTGCTGTGATGATACAACAAGATCTAATGGAGTCATTGAAGTCCATCCAGTGCCGGTTGTCAGGATATTCTCCCTTCCTCAGGAAGAACTGATGGCCTGTGTAGTTGGGATGTTCATAGACCATCCAGCATCCATTTTCCACCTTGACAGAGTTGCAGGGGTTGAGCTGGGCAGGCTGGTCTGTGGTGGCTGCACAGGAGCAGACCGCAAAATTTCTGTCATCAAAGAAAGTGATCTGCAATAAAACAAAAATAACCCCAGTCACACTGGAAAGTATTTGAAAGCTGGCCTAGATTGTACTAAACAATCAGAAAACTGCATGGGTTCATAGGGACACTTCCACCATGCCTGAAGACCAGCAAAGCCCTTGCGTCCATTTTCTATGGGATCCATAGTTACTGGTGTCTTTGTTTCTCTAGTACTAGAAACAACAGGTGGATGTCCCTTTGGGACTCTGCGAAGTGGGGGGCAACTTTCATCATGATTTCATGCTGCAAATATCCTGTCAGCAGCTTCATGACAAGTTTTTGGGAGCATTTGGAGAAAGTGAAACCCAAATTGCTTTTTGACTGCTTTTATCACACAATCATTCAACTTTGTGCCCATCTCCCAGTGCATCCAGTTCTGGGCTTCTGGAAATCTTCTGCCATGTAAAATACAAAGGAAGGAAGAATTCTCCTACATTTGAATTGTGTTGAAGCTTTCACCTCTCTTACGGATACAAGAACAAAAGAAGATTGTTGTGTGTAACCCCAGTTAATCATTGAACACTCTAGGTCCCGTTGGGCAGCTATAAAATAGCTATAAAACTAGAAGCAGTAAAATCAAGTTACGGATACTTAAATCCAGTGGCATTGTTTGGTGATATTTATTACATTTGTTTGGAATAGTGTACTTCAACCTTATTTTCATGTTCATCTTAGAAGTCTAAGAATATATAAACTTCAGGTCTCTTTCAGCAGCTGACAAAGGGAAACCAGCCAGGCAGAAAAATAAAAAGAAAAGATTTTTATGTGTATACGTTGTAGCATTTGAAAGCTTCCAAGTACACTATAAGCTTTCTTTAGGAAACTTACCAAAGAGCTAGATAATAAAACAACCACTTGAGGTTTCCCGTCTGCTAATTTGTTGGTAGACCAACAAACTATGTTTGCAAACTTACTTGCCTACAAGGAGCTATGCATTTGCTAGGTTGTTTGTCAGTGCTCCATTCACCCAGCTGTTCTTACCTTCGCCTTTTTTGCCAGACTTCAGCTGTGAGACCTCAGCATGCAGGAGTCAGCAGTCCTTTACATAGAATGCACACTGTTGCATCCACAGGAATAAGAACAGAAGAGAATTTTTGTTTAGTAAAGGGAATGAATGTTTTTTCCCCTCCCTCTCTCCATTGTCATTCCCTAAACAGAAGGCAATAGCAATAGTTTGTGGCGTACCAACTTTATTGTTACTGTCAGTAAGCAGAGGATGAGAGTAAAGGATAGGTCAAGCAGTATTTCTGTAATCGTACGGATGGAACATATGCAGCCCTGCAGCAGAATTCTTTGATGTCCCTTTATTTTTAATCTCTCTCTGTTCCCTGACTATATGAGACAAAGGATTTTTAATTCACATGGATTCCCAGTGATGATACCGTAAAACATTTTTCACAGTATGCTAATAAAACTGTCTTCATTTTCAAGAGCTTTCAGACCAGGTATTGCTGCTTGTTTCCTTTAACAGTTAAGAGCACGTGTATGAGAGAGAACATTATGTAATAAAAAATGTGTGGTAACGGATGTTTACATTCGTCCAGGCTTCACTGCTGAAATTCTATATTAACATAATTCAGAGTTCATAAATAGAGAGTAGAACTTGAAGGATGGATACCACTTGCTTAAGGTAGAGAAAAGCCTTTTTAAATCTGCACAGAGAAATGTTTCACTTGAGAGATATATAGATTTTTGGAGCTCAGGTACTGAGACAAAATGCAACAGCACAGTAATTTCTTCAGCTGAAAAAATTTTAATTGCAGTTGAACTTAAAAAAACCCTGTTGCTTAGGAAGAACATTGTGGTAAGTTTTCAGTCTGATCTGATTAATCCCAAAGATGCTCAGGACTGTGTTCATTTGGGGCCCTTGTTCAATATGGCATAGTGTAATTCTCAATCAATCAATACATTACAGTGGTCTTTAGAAATCGGGGCAATCGGCAGACTCAAAGTCAGAGCTGTTTTGAATGTATTGCCAGGGCAGGGTGACGGTGATGTACTCTGGGGCTATTTAGGTAAAATTACCCTGCTGATGATGATCTTTAGGTTCTAGCAGATCTTTTTTTCTCAGTTTATGTCTCAAGTAATGGGAAGTAACCCCATTAACCAAATGGGAGTAAAGGTTTGTGTTACCAGTGCTAGATCAGACCTTTTAAGTATTTTCCATTCAGTCTAGTAATTACAAAGCCTAAGTAAAAATTAATGTTAAAATATCACGGAGATGTTATCTATTTGAAATAAAATATTAATATAAAATAAAAATAATAATCCAAGAATGTTTTTCAAAGGATAAAGATAAACAGCACAGTTTTAAGTTATTCTTCTGGAGTTTTAAATATTTCTCTATAACTTGGTGTTTTTTTCCAGGGACCATCCCTTTCTCTCCTTCCACACCCGCCTTTGAACTAACCTTCACAAAATCCCATCATGTGTAGTGCCACATTTTCATATTTCCTGCTCATACTGCATGGAGCAATAATGGAGCATTTTGTCTCACTGGCTTCTTGTTCAACCAAAACGCTACAAGTTTGTGCTTTCTTACATGTCTCTTTCACTATGAGTATTGTGTGGTGATTTCATGAAGCTAGAAAACTTCAGGGGCAAATCTTTAGCTGGCCTATCTTTACACAGCTCTAGTTGTGCTTCTACTGGGTGGGGTAAATGGTACCACTACTGTCAGCCTCTCTCTTGGAGGTGCTTCCTCAGCCAGGAAATTTTAGCCTTTAACACTGAGAGCAGCCTGGGGGAAGAGTGTGAATTTAAGTCTAGCAGTTGCTTCTGAATACCTCATTGCTTTCTTTGCATCAAAAATAACTTCTTCCTGATGGTTAATGCTTGGCAAATTTAATTCACTTACAGGAACAACTTCTATGTACTTGCATTTCTCAAAGATCTTTGACAGGCTTGGAAGTATTACACGTATTTTGTTGTTGTTGTTCTTTCTGTGATCATACTTGCTTTGTGGAACCAGCTTTTTTTGGAGGGTCCCATGTGGTCCTTCATAGTTTAATACAGTGGGCAGTGGGCTTGGTGATGAAGTTTAGAACTTTAGAGTCCAGAGCAGGGGCAGTGATATGTGAATTCCTTATAGCAGCTGCAAATACAGAGCAGCCATCATGGATCAGACCAGTGGGCTAATTAGTCAAGTATCTTGGCAGCAACTGTGGCCATGAGTAGGCAGCAAGGGAAGGGTAGATATTAAGCAAATACATATGATACCTCATTCAGACTTCAAGACCTCAAATATTTTTAGCTTTAGTGGTTTCCTGAGCAGGAGGTTACTTCTCTCTGGTTAATAACCCTCACTGGATTTGTCTTCCAAGTACCCATCCAGCTTCTCCTTGAATCCTGTAGGCTTTCACCTCCTAGGACCCTATACCATAGATGGGCTGAACACTGCACTGTCTGTGGGTTGGTCTTAAACTCTGGAGCCAAAATATCTTGTTAGCCAAACGACATCCACAGTCTGAGGAGTCTGGTTATTTACATCTGTTCCAACTGCCCTCAACTAGTATGCTGTTACGACAGCTGCTTTTACATGGCGGTTGACTGCTTTTGCACCCCAGAAAAACCCAGAAGAGGGTAGGGATAATCTGAAAATAGCACCAAGTGTTTGTGTAGACAAACATACCCTGCCTGCCAGCAACTGTAGTGCCCGCTACCAACCACAAAACAAGCTACAAGAACCTAGAAGACTTGTTAGCAAAAACGTGGATGCTCTCCGTGAATTCCCAGTGCTCCTCTCCTCTAGCACCCTTGTTCTTAATGTCTGCTTGATATTCTCTGAGCATTTACAAACAAAAGTAAGTAAAACCTCTCAGTGCTCCTTGAAAACTAGGAATTGCCTCCATTCTTGTCTCAGGCAGAGAAATCTGAAGAGGTTTAGCTACCCCCAAACTCTAGGACACAGCAGAATCAAAAATCCAGACATCTAACTATTGCTCTCATAACTGAATAGTACATTTCTGTTCATTCTTGCCTTTGACCAAAGGAATGCCAGCACGTAACTTACACATCACTGCTGGCCATATTTCTCAATTGCACTAATTGAACTAGACGCTTTGTTGAAGTAGCTTGGCATATGTTAATTGCTGTCTGGGGTGCTGTTTTTTTTTTTTTCCTTTATTTTATTTTTGCTGAAGGCAAATTAAATATTTTAGTTCCCTGTTCTAAGCAGGCAAGTAAATACTGTGCTTGAGCTTCTATGTTATTTTGCAGACCTGAGTTAGCACACTAACCTAAGCACGCTAACTACTTACATTGTGCAGTTCCTATACATGTACAATGTTAGGCATTTGTGAACAAGAGGAAACATGCTTTTTCACACCTCTGCCTTGAGAGCTGAATTGTTCATGCTCCATTTCTCTCTGTCTGAAATAGGGTGTTCCTAGGTACACTAGACATTTGCAAGCAGCTGAACAGCCTACTTTGTGCAGTAAAGTACAGGGAGGAGGGCAGAGACAGTGTCTCCTGTACAAAAGAAAGGACGAGAAGGGCAAAGAATAGTTCTATTTTCCTCTCCAGTGTTGTCAGGGAAAGGCTGGTGAGGATCACTAACAGGCTATTATTGATGGGTCATGTGAGCGTGAAATAATGGCTAAATGAGTTCTCTGGCATTAGCAAGTGGAGATGTGAGTTTTAAGCAGTCTACCTCACTGCTGTAGAAGTTGCTTGGTTTTACATAAGGACTCCATTATAAGAATGTTTACTAGGCAAAACAAAATCAAAGCCTACCATTTAAAGCCCAGATGAAATGATTTAAAATTAAACATATACTAGATAAGGTTGCAGAGTGTCCTAGTAGTTCTGTGCTCTCTGTACTGCCTTCCCTTTCCAAAAGACTCCAGCACCTTGCTGAAGAGCAGTAGTATATTTGGCAAACTATGCCTGGAAAAAGATAAATCTAGACTCCACTACCTAAAGGAGAAGAGGTATGTTAAGATGTGAGATCCCTTAACTGTGGTTTTTTATATTTCATTATGGCTGTCATTCATTATTGCAGAGTGCCTGCTGGGACAGGATTCAGTGATGATTAGTAGGCATATACATAATTACTTGAATAGTAATTAATGCTGCAGTAGACTTCTTCCAGCACAAGCAGATGTTTTCCTGTTTGTAATCCACACTGGCATGCTTATTTCATTC